GAAAAACAGTTGAAATTCCGTCGGAAATCGGTCTTTCGACGGAATTCTGTCGAAAAATTCTGTTGCAAAACCCTTTGTAGGGAATTCGACCTATTCCGAGGGAAATTCCGTCAGAAGACCAATTTCCGATGGATTTATTTATGTCGGCGCTGTTTTTGACTTTAATCGAGAGTCCGTCGCAATTTTCCAACGGAAAAGATTCCGTCGGAATATACCTCTTCCGACGGAATTTTCCGTTGGAATCTACTTCCTTCCGACGGAAATTTCCGTCGGAAAAGTTAATAAAATTTTTTTTTAAAAAAAAACAGCCCCACCCACCCCACACCATCACTACCCCACGGCCTCACCTCCCCCTTAACCGCCACCACTCCCCACCAGCCCCAACCTCAAACAATGACCACCACCAGCCCAAACCCCACACCACGACCACCGTTCAGGCGTTCACCACCAAAAAAAAAAAAAAATCGAATCTAAAATTAACCACCAAAACAGGTAGATCTAATAATGAAAAACATGTAGATCTAAAATTAACCACGAAAACAACGACAATTAACCCAAAAAAAAGCGAAACAAGATCTAACATTCCGAATTTCAGTAAAAATAAAAATAAAATCAACCACAAAAAATTTAAGGAATTAGATAAATATACAATTATCTCATACAATTTATATCCTAATATTACAATTACTTCAAAAATTAACCATAATCAGAAGTTTATATAAAAAAATAAAACTAGATCTACAATACTTGTGCGGTTGACGATTCTCGCGACGGTGGTTGTGCAATTGATGTTGTTGCGCGTTGTCGGTGTTGTTGTGGTCGCCGTTGTTGTTGCACAGTGGTTGTGGTCTCCGTTGTTGTTGTTGTTTGTTGTTGGTGATGGTGTTGGTGATGGAGATGGTGTTGGTCATGGATAGAAGAAAGAGGGGAAAGAAGAGGAGAGAAGAAAGAGGCGGACAGAGAAGAGAAGAAAGAAGGAGAAGTAAGAGGCGGACAGAGAAGAGAAGAAAGGAAAGAAGGAGAGAAAACAGAGGAAGAAGGAGAAGAAAAGAGGCGACCAGGAGGAGAGAGAAAGAGAAGAGAGGAGAGAGAAAAAGAAAGACAAAGAGAGGAAAGAAGAGGCGCAGGAGAGAGAAAGAGAAGAGAGGGAAAAAAAAGAAAGGAAGGGCGGAAGAGAAAAGGGTTAGAGTTAGGGTTTGTTTTTTTTTTTTTTTGGTTTTATTTGTTCCGACGGATTTTTTTCCCTCGGAATTTACAGCTTCCGACGGAATATTCTGTCGGAAAAAAATTTATGAGGAAATATTCCGTCGAAAGCTGTAAATTCCGAGGGAAAAAAATCCGTCGGAATATTTCCGAGGGATTTTCCATCATACTTACCTTTTCCGACGGAATTTTCTGACAGACCCAAATTCGGTGGGAAATTTTGAAATTTCCGACAGAATTTAAGTCTGTCGGAATCCGGCCTATCTCTTGTAGTGATCCCATATCAATTCCATCTTTTTCTCCTGTTTTCTTGGCATTAGTTTCCTTATTACTTCCCAAGACTTGCCTTTGCATAGGGTCTTTACCCGAACCTTGTAACCCACCGGGTCTCGAGTTTTTCTTCCGAACCAGTTTTTTAACCAACATCTATGACCCATAATCTTGCTCTTCCTCGGGTTTGGGATTCTGTTTCGGGGGATCCTCCACCCTCACTTGGTCAATGGTCGCATTCATCTCGTCAACAACCATGTCATCATGAGCATTCTTTGACACACATTGATCTTCAACATGTCCCAGTTTACCACACTTGTAGCATATCATCTTAATTCCTTCATATTGTATCCTTCATATCCTACCTTTCTACCAGAACATTGATAATAAAGGTTTTGTAAGGTCAACTTAGGCGTGTGAATTGACCACGCTCAACATAGGTTGTGGATTTGTCAACTCGAATTACTTTACCGATTTTTGCACCAATTTTCTTCAGAAACTCCTTGTCAAAATATTCAATCGATAGGTTCGGGATTCTTACCCATGCAGTGAGAACATTCAAGGATGCTTCTTCTGGGATGAAATTAGGGGACCATTTTCTGATTGTTAAATATTTGTCATCAATGAGCCATGGTCCCTGGGTAAGAACATAATTGTAGTCGTCTTAGTTATTGAACCTTGCAATAAAGTATTTGCATCCAATATCTGTGAGAGATAGTTCCCCCTTCAATTGCCATTTCTTTTTAAGACGCTTCATGAGTCCTATGTAACCTAGGCTCCCATCAAACATTCGAATTATCATAGTGGAATTTCAAGGTTTCCTGATTGCTCGTTTCTCTCTTTTGTAAGCAGGGTTACAGGGCATCTAGCATCATCTTCAACTCCTTTAGGGGCAATATCATCATCAAAATCATCATCGTCTTCTAGCATGTCAATGGAGTTCCCTTCTCCCTGATGGAATAGTTGTGTATCTCTTAGAAGGTCTCTAAAGGAAATACTTGGTTTTTGGACTTGGTTTTGGACATTAGAGTTGCCCAAAATTCCCTGAGAATGACCATTTAGGCCATTTTCATTTTCCCCTCCCAGCCTAGGATAAGAAATGGTGACTCCCATGGATTGATCTTCCATCTGTTCATCATTATTGAAAATTAGATGTGTGATTTTTCTTTTTGGTTTCTTATTAGATCGAACTACTTGATCTTGAATTTCTAGAGGCGTAAGGTTTCTCTCGTTTTCTCTCATCAGGTGTAAATGAATTTTTCAATTCAATGCAATTGATGAGTGTCATTTCCGACACTATTTATATCTATGTTTCTTAGATTTTAGGTTAGTTCCTTTAGCATTTTAGTGTCTTTATTTAGCTTTTTGATATTTTGTGGCTTATTTTTCTTTTATGTGTTTTTATAGGTTATTGAGTGTTTTTGGAAGATAAAATGATGAACCAAATAAAGGAGCCAATGTGAAACGCGAATGGAAGTTCCTGAGGAGGAACTTGAGAAACTGACGGAGATGAAAAGAGCTTGTCGGGCACGTTTTGTTCGTCTAGGTTCATTGAATCCACGAATTTGGGAAGTCTTGGGGAATAATTTGCAAGATCTACAGCAGTTGGAAAAGATATATTTGATTAAAGAGAAGATCTTATCAATTGGTTAAGTATGGAAAGAGATATATTTTCACAATCTTATCTTATTACTTTCCTTATCTTTAAAAGATTCTCAATGATCTTTTAGCCTATTTAAAGCCACGAAATCAGAGGAAAAAGGGCAGACGCTAGAGAAGGGAGACTTCACTCCAAAACCCTTCAAGGGTTAGGAGTCTTTTGACACTGTTCGTGATACATTGCAGCAGAGGAACTCGGAGCAACCAGAGAGGAACTTAGATCCGAATCTGAGGAACTTGATGGGTTCTTGTTTTGTATTCTTTTTTTTTTTTTTATCTTTGTGTTATGAGTCCTTAGCTTGTTATGCTCAGTAACTAATAGTTTAAAGCCATGTAATAAGTATTTGAGACGAGTATTTTGGTTTTAATGATTAATGCTTTAGAGTATTCTTGAATTATTGTTTTGTTTATACGAATGATGATTTCTTATATATAAGTAGGTGTACAACTATTTGTTTGGGTCTGATTTCTTTTTCTAATTAATACTACTAAGTTCGTAATTGCTTGGGAACATTAATGAAGTAGTAAACAATTGTAGAGGAGGACGTTCCACTCTATTAATTGAAAAGTAATTCTCGATCGAGGCTTAATCACGTAAGTTCCGGAGTGTTGTGGTTGTCTTGGCTTGATGTTTTCCTAGTTCTCAATGCTGTCATCAGGTTAAATTCCTTGCTCGTAGTAGAGGGGTTATCTGTTGGTTAGGGTTAGTGAAAATCGAACGGGATCTAACCATTAATAAGGGGAAACAGAGGAACTTGTTCTATAAGTCAAGCTAATCTAAAGGGTTAAGTATTATGTCCGGGATTATACATTTGCATGGTGGATTTCTATATATTGTTGCTGAGTATCTCAAGTTCCTTTTCTGTTGGTAAAAGTTCCTAGTTAGATTTAGTTTTTAGTTGTTCCTTATCCTTAAACTCTCCCCAATCGTTTCTTTTACTGTTTTGAGTCTTAGTTAAGTGTTTTAGATCTTATTCTTAGTTATTTGCAAGCACGTTCTTCGTGGGATCGACCCCTACTTCCGCTAATTACAAGTTAGTAGTTTTAGGGTAATTTTTATTAATTTTGTGCGTTTCAACACCGCATCGGGAATCCTTTTTTCAAGTTCCACTTTTTTCTACTTCTCAATTATAAATCAATTTATTGGTTCCTTCTTCCCCTCATCCCCAAGAAAATGTAAGGCATTTAAAATGTTAATTAATTTCTCTGTCTTCAAATAATGATCTCATTTAGCCTTTGTATACATTTTTAGAAAGGTAAACGAAAGAAATAAAGTACTCCCTCCGTTTCATAATGTTAGTCTCATGTACTATTTTGGGCGTTTTAAAAAGATCTACCCATATTGAATATGTTCCATTTTTAACTTAATTTTTTTGGAATTAATTGGTTGTGGATTGATAACATGACTCTAAATAAGGAAATCTCTACCTTAAATTATGCGACTTATGCTTTCTCAAAACAAAATCAAAAAACTTAAATAACGTAAACTAATTATGAATTATTTTGTACTTTAATGTTAGATTTCAAATATTCTTCTTTTCTTATGTTGTGATTGATTCCATATGGGACTAACATTATGAAACGGAGTAATTAATTATACATTTTGCGCTTTGTGAAAAGAATGAGCGAAAATCTACATTTAGAGTTTAACCAAATAAAAGAATGTGCATATCACTTCAAACCCTTAATCAACATATTTTTAACTAATTCCTACTTATCCCACACTCCCATAACAAATCCTAAAGATCTAAGCAGGGAGTCAAAATGCTACAACCTAATGTCTTGTAACCTTTTGGCAAGGTTACAAGATTACATTTGCTAAGCAATCCATGTTAGTAAACACGACAACCGAAAATTTCCATTTTTTAAATCACGACGAGTGATTCAATTTTGATATTTTAACCTAATCTTGAAAACTCATTAGTAATACTCAATACCATAATCACAAAATTATCGATTGGATAATTACTTTATAAACAGAAAACGAACGCACACGAGCAAGCATACATAAAGGAGACATGCTAACTCTTCAACTATACAGCTCAACATGACACCCCTCGATCATCCCTATTGTCCTCCGACAAGTGTCTAAACACGATTGGTGCACCGTGTTGAGGGTAGAGAAGCATCAACACCGTTGGTGCATGTTGGTAAGACGGGGCAAGCGTGAAAGAGAAGCGTTGTAACAAGATAGTGAGCACAAGTTTAGCTTGTAGAATAGCAAGATTTTGGCCAATGCAAGTGCGAGTCCCAAGGCCAAAAGGAATGAAGGAAACAGGATGCTTGGCTGCACGAGAAACACCATCAGCAAATCTTATGGGATTGAATTCATTAGCATCATTGCCCCATATTGCTTGATCATGATGAACTGCTAAGATCGGGACAAGTAGCTCGGTCCCACGTGGGACCCGACATCCTCCTAGCTCCACGTCATATTTTGCACGTCTGATTGTTGCGATTGCTGGAGGGTATAAACGAAGTGACTCGTTTAGTATCATGCTCAACTGCACATTATATCATAAGCTACATCAAATTTAGAATTTCGATTTTCCGTAAAACATAAACTTAAACTTTTCATGTTCAGCCAAATAATATTACTCAATTCATAAGAAGTGAAATTACACGGGAATTGTAAATATAAGGTAGAGTGTAGCTTCACATGCGCAATCAAACAACTATCCAAATTCTCTTTACACATTTAACATACATGATCATTGACAAACACTACGAGCTTTATTGCTTTGCCAAAACCAGAGCCCTAAAGAAAAGGGAGGTGATGCACACTCCAATCACCAACCATATGATCTCATACATGTATTAAAGTTACCTCATATTCCTTTTAAAATTATTCATCTAATTAAATGTACTCAGATCATAAATGATTTCTTACGTCTTCTAAATAATCACATATCTTATATGGACGTACCACATTATTAAAGTTTCCCTATAACTACTACTTCATATATGGGTAGACTTTATCATTGTATTTGTAGATGTTAGAGTGTTAGACCCTATCTTATCAATATACTAGTGCACATAGATATTAAAGACAAAATTATTTAATTTTCAGAAAACATATAAGAATGTTATGCTACTAGACAAATTCAACATAAAAAAAACAGTAACAAAAATATGGAAAAAGGAAGAAAAAAGTAGAAAGGGAACATACCATCTTAAGCTTAGCAAGATCATCTTTAGAGGGTAAGTCACGTGATGGGCAGACCCTTAAGACCTCCTCACGTGCCAGGTCCTGCCAATGAGGATGCATTGCTAGTAACACAGTGGTCCATGTCAGCAGATTCGACGTCGTTTGTTTCCCAGCAAAAAAGAAGCTTTTACACTCTTCCACAATATCTTGGACCGTTATTTTATTATTACTATTATTATTAATAATATTATTATTATTATAATTAGTGCTTGATAATTGTGGGGCATAATTTAATGATGATAATAATGAAGAATTATTTATGGCAAATTCTGGAATACTGTTATTTTTTTCATTCTCTCTCATTCCAGCCTGGATCATTAGGCCCAGCAAATCTTTTGGCCCACCATTTCCTGCTACTTCTTCTGATCCAATTTTATTATTTCCCATAATAATATTATTAATATCATCATTAATATTAATATTGTTATTATTATTATTATTATGATTGTGATTCTCTAATTTCCTCTTCTCAATTAACTTCACTAATGATCTTCTTATCTCCTTGTCCAATCTCCATGATTTCACATTCCCTTTTGTTGGTAGAAATCTGCATTACATTTTCAAACCATGTACAAATATGTTAGTACAAGATATTAAACAAATGCTACATATATAATATAATAATATATTGTGTCTAACATTAGGACGATAATAAGTGTCTAAAGATATTGATTAGCTGATGATGTAAAAAACAAAACAAAGATATTATAAATTTATCCTCACAATTTGTAGAGCATTGGTTGACTTATGCCTCTACAAACACCGTTACTTTACAAGTTGTCGTATAGTTATTGCAACAGAATATACTTAAGTGAATAAAAATAATTGTATTCTATTCTATAATTCACAACATTCAATATTTTATTGTGGATATAATTAAGTACCGCCTTTTATATTTAAAACAACAAAATAATTAATTTTAATTACTCCGTAATAAGGAGTACAGTCGACTTTTTTACATGTTTAATCGAGTTCAAGGCGGTCAGTACAAATGTGGAATCTTGTAGTGACGGTAGGTTGTATTATGTGAAGCTACACAATGGTACAAAAACATCGAAATCATCTTTATAACTTATAAGACCAAATCATAAATCACAATGAATTAGAAGTGAGGACCTAGCTATGAAAATGAAGCCCTTGATGAAAAAGGTCGGTGAATCTATCAAATGGGTGTATTATAACTAGTTGATGATGATACGTGGCACCTTCTTTTAGAAAAGGTCACCATACTCCTATTAATTAGGAGAATAACATAGTTATGATCTTGATTTTAGATGGTGATTGTCCAAAATTAATTGGGAGGTGAGTTTGAAAATTTATGTGGTGGGTGAATTTTTAGGGAATAAAGGAGTACAATCTCATAAATAGCTTCCTCATTCAAAAATATAGAAGTTATATGTACAACTAGCATCTAGCTAGCAATTAAGGCAATACAAATTATTTCGGCCTAGAAAAACACAACCCTCGTCTACTTATCAACTTATTGTATACCCGTATGCATATAAAATACAATTTCACTCAATCGCTAACTAATTAAGGGTCGACATCAAAGTCAAGCCAAGATCCTATATATTAAAGTGCTCCCTATTAAACTACTACGAGTAATGGTCTAGTGGTTGACACTGATGGACAAATAATAAATTAAGACCGTGGTTCATTTGATAGTGTCTTAAAACGTAAAAAAAGATAGTGGAGTTAGTAGTCGGGATAATTACCTATAGCCAGGAATGAGAACCTTCTGAAAGGCATCAGCAGCAAGGAGCATTTGATGGCTTTGAAGCCTGAAAATGGCTTTACCTTGTTCATAGCTACTTCCAAATGCCATTCTTGTGATCACATCCTCTGTTAAACCCTGAAACCACTCCGAAACTTCAATTTCAACTTCACCTTTCTCACACATCATCCGATCCCACTTGTCCAGCATTTCCTCTACACTCTTTCCCACCATTGGTATCAACAACTGCATCCTCCCCAACAATATTTATGTGAGGCCATAATCATTACTTTACATACTATATTTGTCACATTCCATGGACTATATGTTTATGTTATCCCTACCTACATGTTACACTTAAGTTTACTCGAGTTAACACGGATAACATATGTTAGGTAATGTAGACGGGCTTTGATTCTATGATCACTGTATCGTGAAAGTAACTTATTAATTCATTACCTTGAGATTTTCCATGTGGAAGGTGGGTGTTATGATTTTGCGATGGTGAGCCCATTTTTCGCCCTTGAGGCTAATAAGTCCGTTGCCCTCGAGTTGTTTCACTAGCGGGTTAGCCTCGATTTTCTCATAGAATTCGGACTTGGTACTAAAGATTTCTCGAATGAGGTCCGGATCTGAGACTGTCAAGCGAGCCGTGGGTCCGAACCACACTATGAATGTTGAACCTACATACACATACATTCAAACACATTTAGATTAAAACAAGAAAACATCAACCCTAGTAAATGTAGGATATAAAATCCAAAACAACTTGAAAACTTGCCAAGGATTAAAAGATAGCAATAAATATGTGGGAGTAGGAGGAAGTAATAAACCTTAACACCAAAGAGGAAATACCGTACAACTTCAAGTAGTAAGAATCAAGTTCGCAAATAAAGGAAATTGAAGCAATAAATAAATATAAAAACTTTATAATAAAATTTCCAATAATTTAGAAATGAAGATTAAGATAGATATTGTAGAGTTATAGAGGCTACCCTAGAAAAATAGGACAAATTCAAGACTGCGCCACTAAAAAAGAAACAAGTAGTACAAGTTAAGGGGTTATCAAAATTTGAGCTCCCTTTAGTATCAGAAGGTAGTAAGGAAATCTGAAATAAGGCAATGATTATTAACCCCACATACATTTAATTTTTCTCTAGAAAAATCCTTTTTATAAAAAAATAAAAATTGTATTAATAAATTGAAAATTAAAAACATTTGAAATTGTATTTTTTAAACATTGGGAGATTAAAAAATTATCCATTAATGATGTCATTTTCCAAAATTAATTTTTTCAATTTTGGGTTATAATTTTGGAAATTTACTTTATTAATGGATAATTTATAAACTAAAAAATTACTCAAAAAATAAAAATTGAAGAAAACTTGAAATTGAAGAGAAAAAGGGAGGAAAATTGAATGCTTATACTGTAGTAGTAACTGAAATTGATGAAGAAATGCAAATAATTAACAGCTGAAAGAAGGCTGCACAACAACATCATGTCAGAGAGAAAAAACAGAGGAAGAAGACAAGTGATGATTATTAAGAGATTTTGGCTGATGCAATAAAAAGTTGATAAAACAAATTAATGTTAAAAATCAACAAACCCCCACCAAAATTAAAAATCAAACTTTTTATTAAACAATTCCAAGAAAGTACTCCTCCCCTTTCTCAAAAAGTTAGTATAAACTTTGGATGATATAAAATTTTAACAAAATCCAAGAATTATTTCCTCAATGGGTCCAATTATGAAATATCTACAGTCTCCCTTTTTCTCAATACAATGAATTGAATGAAAATATAAAATCCAATAACAAAAATTTTAAAGAAATAATGTGTCAAATCATATAATGCTTTACAATTACATTAATTTCCTATTCACGACAACATAAGAACAGGATGAGATGTACGCAACCTTACTTACTAAAACTATATCTACTACGCATAAACCTTTAACAAAGTATCAAAAATGTACTTAATGAACTACAAACACGAACACGAGCCGAATGGCTCATCACTTACTAAACTTAACCTCAAATGACTAGATAAAAGAAAAAAGTAAGAGAATTACCATAAATTTTCCTCCAATGATGGTAGAAAGAGAAAACTCTAGGAAGAATGTTGTGAGAAAAAGGCATAGGATGAGAAGAAGCCTTCAACATGAGTTGAACAATTTCTTTGACATTACCAATGAAAAAATTGTAAGGAGGTCCTTTGATCCCCTGTTTTGCAAAATGATACTCTAATTTTCTTGGCCTCCACCATAAAACCACCATTATTCTTAATACTAAAACCAACATAATTGATGTAAAAATTATGGGTTTTATATCCAATAATTTTACCAAAAAACCTTCATCATCCATTTTTTTTCTTTCTTTGATTTTATTACAAAATTTCCTCTGTTTTTTCTTTTCTTTCTCTCTCTAAAAAACAGAGCAAAACTGCTGCTGCTGCTTTTTGTCTGGCTGTCTCTGTTTTAAGAAAGAAGCAAACCTTTTTTTTTTTTTTTTTTTTTTTTTGGATTTTTATTTTGGATTTTGGATTAATAATTTAGATGGGTTTTTTCTTTTGTTTAAGTTTTTGGGTTTGTTTTTTGTGTAAGAAGAAGAGTGGTTTTGATTTAGGAGTGAATTATGTGTTTAATAGTGAAGAGGTTTTAGAGAGAGGAGAGAGGAGAGAGAAAGAGAAGAATAGGTAGGGGTGGTAATTCGGGTCAGCAGGTCGGGTTTGGGTCAGATTTCGGGTCGATTTCGGGTTATGTTTAGAAACTATTAAAAATAGTGTAAAACTTAATATTATTACGAAATATGAAATTTGGATCAAATCGGGTCGAATTCGGGTTGTTCGGGTTCGGTTCAGGCCGGGTTCGGGTCTCTCTCAGTAACTTCGGGTCGGGTTCGAATCGAGTTTTCGTGTCGGGTCAGGGTTTGCCAGCCCTAAGAATAGGGCTTGGCAAGGCCAACGGCGTAGGGGCCGCAATTGTGTATATTTTTGAGGGTCAACGAGGTTGAGTTTTATATTGTTTTAAAACATTCTTTTTGACATTTTTACCCTTCTTCTTTCACAAACTTTAGGTGCACAACATACTATCTGTCATTCTGTTGTTAAGACTTGTTACAATAATTAGTCCATCATATACAGGGGTGCTAATCGAGCAAGTCGATCACGAGCTAAAGGGCGCTTGATTCGATTCGAAAACTTTTTTTATGTGCTCAACTTGTGCTCGTTAAAGTTTCGAGCCAATAAAATCTGCTCGACTCGTGCTCGTTAAAGTTTCGAGTCGAGTTGAATAACTCACGATCTGTTCGTTAAAGATTTAGTCCTTTTAAAATTATAGCCCTTTATTGTTTTTTTTTTTTACTTTATATAGTTTTCTTTTATTTATTTTAATTACTATTAAAGATTTACTCTTTGTTTTTTGATAATATATATAACTCTTATTAAGTTTCAATTTGTTCATGGAAATAACTTTGTTTGTAAATTTTTTATTAGTAAAATATATAATTGAGTTGCTCACGAGCTTATCGAGTCGAGTTAGAGCTTGCTCAACTCATGCTCGTTAACATCTCGAGTCGAAATCGAGTCGAGCCAACTCGAGCCGAGTTTTGACCGAGCTTTGACCGAGTCGAGTCCGAGTTGCTCACGAGCTGCTCAACTTAATTAGCACCCCTAATCATATACATGCTAAAACAGAACTCTTCTAAAATGAACTGAACTGAATTAAAGCTAAATTGTGCTTGGAATTGGATTTGGTGACTTGGTTCTAATGCAAAGCAAGATCTAACCTAACCTGACATATGTCAAGTTGTTAGCAAACGACTATCCAACTATCAAACATGCTAAAACAGACCCGACCCGAAATTAAATGAATTAAATTTGAATTGTGCTTGAAATTGGATCGAATGATTTGGGTTTGACACGAAGCAAGATCTAACCTAAGCTGGCATAAGTCAAGTTGTTAGCGTTAAAAAATGATATGAAGAGATTGATTATTTTTTTTCCCTTAATGAAGATCATTTAATATATGCTGATTTTTGCACCATAAAAATGATACCACCTTCATTTTCGTTTGATATATCTAATTACTATAGATTCGCAAATCAAGTACATTGAAAAAGGTGGTGAGGATAAAAACAAGGTTGACAAAGTATGAGACAAAATAAAAATACAAATAAATAATGTAAGATCGATTAAGATGGATAAAGAAATTTCTTAATAATGTTAGATAGGAGTTGTCCATGATTTGCTTCCTTATGGAGTTATATTTCATAGAGAATAATCAATTGGTAGCAATAATAATAGCAATGATTAAGATTTGTGTTATTTTGTTGAATTGGAAATTAATTAATTATTCGTGAATTGCTTCCATATTAGGGGCATATTATAAAAGTCATAAAAAGGTTAGCCTCTTCTCCTTTCAAAGTACCATAATTTGTTTTACAAGATAGAGACAAGTATGTTATTTTTCAGCAAATTTAGTTGAGTCGAAATTACAATACTCCATCCTTTTAATTCTGTTGTCTTAATTATTTAGAACCTTTTATAAATTCCAATAGTTGTTCGATTTATGTATAACGGAAATAAGCTAAAGAGTCGTAAGATAATTTAAGTAATAAAAATCATCTCTATCTTACAATAAACTCGTTATTAGACCGTCTGCATATATTCGAAATTATTATTATTGTTATTATTATTATTATTATTATTATTAAATAACAAAAACCTACAAAGTCAAAAGATTTACAAGAAATTAGTGGGGAGTCGAGATACAATCAGGGCCCCCACACCTCTAGCTATAGCGAACCCAATCCTGTTAAAGATGAGAGCAGCCGCACGAGCTCCAATATCCTGAGTCCTAGCGAACGCCTGAACCCGCTTCAGCAACGCAACGACATCCTTCTCTAATTCCCCCAATGAAGAAAAGGAGAAAGGAAGAAAACCATAGCCAATAGCCCTGCAACGCGCCCCATACTTGTCTCGCTTCCGCTGAGCCGCAGCCGACATAACACGACCAGGAACGAAGTCAGACAACCCAGATTGAGTCAATGGAAATGTGATAATTTTGACTTTCAAGCATTTTGTCAAGAAATAAAATTTACAAAAGAGTTATGAAAAGTTGACTAATAATAACATTTCCATTAAAGACATTGTCTTCATAATTTTGTCATTAGTGCCTGAAAATCATCCAATAACATACCGTGTAAAATTGATTCACCTCCATTTTGGAATGAAACGAACAAAAGTAGAGAAGTCAATTTTCCAATGACATGCATTGGTAAGCAGGTATATATTTTCTGCTAACGTTAACTTAAAGATTAAACTCATCTTAGTAATAACTTCCAATTTACGTTGGACTAATTTGACATGTAAAACAAAATTAATGAGCTCAAAAATCATCGAGTAAACTAGTTAACTAGATATATATATATTGTTCGCACATTTTTACTAACTATGAAATCCAATTGATTTGGAAGTATAGTGAATCGGACAAATGATACATTAATCCACCCGATAGTTTACTTTATAGACCTAGATTGACTAGATGTTAATCCAAAGACAACTTTTCTTTGGAAAAAATTATAGTAATTCACTTAGTTAGTCATGTAAAAAAGATACTTTGTTCACAATTAATCACTCTTCCAAATATAATTCATGGAACAATTTAAGTCATCACACAAAGTATTATAATAAAATCCTTTTTTTGTTTAATCGATCATCAGTACGGGAAGCGCCACTTAGAATTTTCTTCATAACTTTCTCTAAAACATATAAAATTTATAATATTATCTTTATCATAAGAAAGAGTTTGAAATAATGAAGTACATTGTATCTTATAATAGGATCAATGTCATATATTTGTACAACACATAAACTAAAGTGTTACTCTCATATTATTCTCGCCAAGAAAAGAAATTGTATACTATATACTTGCATGTAATTATATAAAATGACTACGTGAAATATTATAAAACTACTAAAAAAAGAGACAATTGAGTAATTTTGAGCTGACAATGCATGCAAAAAGTGGTAGCTAACTTATCAAGCAATACCTCTGTCTACATTAATAATGACAGATAATACAACAATTGAAAACTACGAAATGAGATCATAACATAAACTACTATTAATACACATTCTAAGATCATTTGTCACTTAATTAATTTAACTTCGAACTGACCAAGATAGAACAATTACCTGGTTTCAATTAATATCACACGGGAAGCTTGATTAATTAAATCATATAAGGTGCTATAATATTGATTTATGAGTATACTTTATGATTAGCACACATATTTACGTACGAAATTTGTACTCGTAAACTTGATTAGTAATGCAAATGACAGTACTAATTGGGATTGTAAAATTAATTTAGATTAATAAAGAGTTGATGGAAGGATAAAACGTAGAAGATACTACCATGGTTCCTAGCTTGTTCCTTATTCCCAAGGGACATAGAGAAGAGAGGAGGGAGGGTTTGCAATTTTGGAATGTTGCTCTTTAATTTGGGGCACATGGGAACTAAATTTGTCTACTTTTAATGTTTTACTCATATTTTCTTAATTTCTTCATCTTTAATTTCATATAATTTAAAGAGATATTTGCACTCGATCTTTATTAAGAGATATCACATTCTTTTAAATAAATTGATTGGTTAATTATCAGACAACATAGTAAGGTGGTTCCGACATAATTTTATAGTTTGTCAGTTTTAATCTGTGATCGTGATCTATCCATAGATTATTCGCATAAGATAATAAGTATAAATGTTACAATTTACTCATGCAAAATATTTTTATTAATTATAAATAATGAATCACTTATTAAAGAGTGTTGTTTTGGGTAAAAATTAGAGGTGATCAAAGTTAGCCCGGTCCGATCCGACCCGATTTTGGACGGGTTTTGGGCAGTATTTTTTGGCCCGAAATCAGGTTGGTTCCGGTCCGGCCCGAATTTTTTTTTTTGGACGGGTTTGGGAATGCGTTTATATGCATATTTAGTTGATTTTTTAGGCCCGGTCCGAAAAGCCCGCACGGCCCGACCATTTTGGGCGAGTTTGGGCACAAAAATTCCGGCCCGGCCCGCCCAATGATCACCTCTAGTAAAAATACCCAGGACACGTGGCCCAATCAAAGGATGACACGTGTCACCTTAGGAGAGGTTCAAAATGAACCAATCCTTAGCTGGCACGTGGCACTCCCAATCAGTGGGGAAAAAAGACGGCCTTTAGGGCCCAATTCCCGAGAAAAGCCGCAAAATGGTGCAGCCCTCAAATCTAGGTCAGAATGACCTAGATAGGGGCATACTTACCAATGACCCTATAAATAGGGAGATTCACCCCACTTTGGGGGGGGGGGACATTCGTTAATTACAATACAAGCAATTCTCTCATATAAGAGAAATCCCTTGATCTCGAAATCCGAGAAGATATCACTTTAGTTTCCGCACCTTTTCACTTTCTCCGTACACGTTCTAACTTGATCGTCGGAGGCGAAACTCCACCCAACCGGAGTCTCCGTTGTTTTGCAGGTATAGGCGCTCGGAATCCAGTCTTGGTGACGTAACTCTCCCGAGGGACAAAAAACCTCGAAACATTTGACGCCGTCTATGGGGAGAGTACCTCTAAGATGATTTCACAACAGTCTGTACCACCGCCTAATGAGAAATGGTCTACGGCCGAAGCTGGGGTCCATTCGGACCATGATACTAATGATTTTGAAGTCAAAACGTATGTGGTCGCAGATGGGTCACTCAGAACCAGATGCATCCGGCCCAAAGATGTAAGGGAACGGGGCAATGATCAATCGGGTCCAGGCAGGTCATCTGGTCAGCCGCAGGCGGCAGAGGAGATTGCACCTGTTACCCGAGATGAGCTAATGAAACTCATGGCGAGTTTCAAGGGAGAGATCAAGGATTTGATCACAAGGAGGACGGCTGGTCCAAGCAAGGGTTAGTCGCCTAAGAAGCCTTCTCACTCTGAGAAGAACAATCCAGTCAAGGACCGAGAGCCCACTCCGCATCCTAAATCAAAGGAGGGGAAGCGGCCCATGATAGATCTTTCCAAGATCCGATTCCCTAAGACAGGGAAAAGGAAGGTCGTCCGGCATATCCAGCCGGATGGCTCAAAGAAGACATACTCTGATGCCTGGTTCCTAATCGAGCAGAAGAGAAACCGGCAACTGTGTGAGTCGGCTTCAACGTTGAGTTACCCAGACTGCTTCCTGAATACCTCAATGAGGTATTCTTAAACTGGAGATAGTTAGGCAGGCGTCCCGTCTGTTTACACCGGCCCTCAGATGATCCATTCGGCCCCGTATACATGCCGTATGGACAACCTTACATGCAACCGACCCTTTTTGGGGGTCAGGCATCACAAAACGTCCAACCTTTGGACTGGCAGCTCTGTCTACTAAAACTTAAGGAACAACCTTCTGCGTTCTCAGGGAAATAACCGAGGCGGCACAGCTGGCCAAGGTTAAAAATGTTTTGGTGGGTACTTATGATGGTACCACCAACCCTAAAGACCACCTCATTGCCTACACCAACCTCATGTACTTGCAGGGGTTGGATGACGCCACCTGGTGCCAGCGCTTCCCGGCTACATTGAAGGGCA